ATGTATTGGGACACCTGGGTGGCTCAGTCAGTTAAGCGTCCACCTTCGGCTCAGGTCATGATCTCACCGGTTCATGAGTTCAAGCCCCGCCTCAGGCTCTGTGCTGACAGCTTGGAGCCTGGAGCCTGCTTCGGATTCTGTGTCTCCCTCCCTCTCTGCCCCTTCCTCGCTCTCACTCTGTCTCTCTATCAAAAATCAATAATCTAAAATTTTAAAAATAAAATAAAATAAAATGCATCATTTAACCAACCTGGGCTATTCACACTGCACACGCTGCCTTAGTACACTCCATTCACACAACCCCTTGCTCGCTTCTCAGTTTCTTCCCCTCCATATAATCTTAATGCCCCTATTTATTTCTTGCTTGTTTCTAGGAACACTTTGACTTTTTTATTAAGTCAAAATTAATAGCTTTGCACCCTAAGAATGAGCTACAAAACTGTGTTATTTTTGGAAAGTCCTTCTAAGGTTTGGTTTGGCTGGATTTGATTCGTTTTTTTTTTTTTTTTTTCTCACTGGTAGCCCTGAATTAATGGCTGTAGGGAATCTCTGTTAGAACATTGAAGGCTGCCTGGGCTCACACGTGTTTAAAAATGCTTTGTGTGTACGAGCACACACAGGCACAGGAAGGGTGAAGATCGTAGCTCAAGAATCATGCAGCAGACATAGCACAAGGGAGCTCTACATCAACAGCAGGTGCCTTCTATCATCTTCTACGTTATTGCAAGTCAAGTTGGAGAAAAACTGGAAATTAATTGGAAGAGCCATAAAGACAACATCAGGAACATCACCTCGCTTGCTGTACTCATTTTTTTTCCCAATTAGTTTTTGGAAATACTTGCTTTTCTTTTGTGCTAATTTCCGAGTAATTGTCCACTTTGGAACTCTTACAAAATGGGTAGGTATTTGAGAACCATGATGACCTGTGACCTTTGACCCAAGGTGATCTTTACTGGGGGGATCCATGAAAGATTGATTTGAGCAGAGCTGAGTTAGACAAACAAGCCATTCACGTACCTTTAAATCCGGAGGCAAATCAGGTAAAAATGTTAGCAACCTTTGTGGCCTGGAATTTCCTGCCCCCATAGTCAGGAATTAGGACGATACTGCTCCTAGCCTCTGCAAGTATTGATGAAGATGTTTCTGGATCTTTCCCTTCAAATGGACCCCTAGAATAATCCAATGGAGCATACGAGGTCCCGTCAACAGGTAAGCAGGCTTCTTGACAAATAACTTTAAAAAAGAATAGAAAAGGGTGCCTTTTACATTATTTAGAGCAATAATTCTAAATGTTTCCATCACAGACATATTGAATCAAAGGAATATTCAATCCTTCTTCCAAAGAGTCCAAGTTTTAGGAAGACCTTTAATTAGCGTCAAAACACGGGAAAATGGGAGTTTCTGACGGGGCTGAGTTCCTGGGAGCCATGCAGAGAGGACAGGATCACAACCTGAGAGAAACTGCCCAGTGCTGTTCTCTAGTGAGGGGTCCTGCGTCAGGGCGGGACGGCAGCTACACGGGACAGCAGTTACAAGCATTTGTGGCTGGCCTTACTGCCACTCCAGAAACTTCAGTCGCTGTGGAATTGCCCAGGCTGGGAGCTACTGACCTTGACGCCTCATTCCCACCATCTCTGAGCCCGCTGACCAAGCTGAGGAGACAAAGTAGGTGGAGAGGGAGGGTTTAGGAGGCGACATGCGGGCTGCACGTTCATTTTCTCTGAGGAGTATTTATGTTTAAATGTAGGGGACAAAACCCAACTGGATCACATTAACGAAAATTTTATAAATTTTTTTTTTTTTGAACGTTTATTTATTTTTGGGACAGAGAGAGACAGAGCATGAACGGGGGAGGGGCAGAGAGAGAGGGAGACACAGAATCAGAAACAGGCTCCAGGCTCCGAGCCATCAGCCCAGAGCCCGACGCGGGGCTCGAACTCGCGGACCGCGAGATCGTGACCTGGCTGAAGTCGGACGCTCAACCGACTGCGCCACCCAGGCGCCCCAACATTAACGAAAATTTTAAAACAGAGAAGCATCAGGACACCTGGGTGGCTCAGTCAGCTAAGCAGCCAAATCTTGGTTTCAGCTCTGGTCATGATGTCACGGTTTGTGGGGTTGAGCCCCGTGACAGGCTCTGTGCCACTAACACGCAGCCCGTTTGGGATTCTCTCTCTCTCTCCCTCTCTCTTCTCAAAACAGATAAACTTAAAAAACAAAACAGAAATGCATCGATACTAATGCGATGTCCTACATTATTCACATGCACACCCTCTATGGATTCCTTATTTGCAAATTTCCCTACTCACTAAAACGCATCTGTAACCTCAAAACCGATGCTCAAAGAACTTTCATGGTCATTCACTGACATGCACAAAGTGACGAGTTTGAGTGACCCCACATCCGGGTTCCCAGCCAAGGCAAACCACAGAGAGTCTCTGCCTTCTTGTTTCAGCTCCATACTGTAAACAAATGGCCTCTTGCCAATCTATTTAGCGCAATGGTTTTTGTATTTGTGTGCTTCCTGTTGGTGATTTCACTGTTTAAAATAGCCCCCCGCCATAATGCTGCAAGTGTTCTCAAGAGCCAGGAAGCTGTGATGTGTCTTATAAGAAAAAGTACATGTGTTAGAAAAGCTTCATTAGGGCAGGGGCCATAGCGCTGTTGGCCATGAGTTCTATGTTGATGAATCAACAATAGATATCAAATAAAGTGTCTTTAAACATAAACACACATAAAATAAGAATAGGAATTGGTCAGTTGACAAAAATGCTATAAACAGAAGCTCACAGGAACCTAATCATGTATTTCTCCTAAGAACAATGGTCCTGTTCACTGAGTCAGTGTTTGAAGTGACTTTGTAGAACACTGCCATGAATATTGAGGACCAATTGTACTTAAAATTTCATTTCCTGGGGCACCTGGGTTGGCTCAGTCGGTTAAGCATCCGACTCTTGGTATCAGCTCAGGTCATGATCTCACGGCTCATGAGTTCGAGCCCCACATTGGGCTCCTCGCTGATAGCACAGAGCTTGCTTGAGATTCCCTCTCTCCCTCTCTCTCTGCCCCACCTCCGTGCTTGCTCTCTCTCTCTCTCGAAATAAATAAAAAACTTTACAACGTTTATTTATTTTTGGGACAGAGAGAGACAGAGCATGAACGGGGGAGGGGCAGAGAGAGAGGGAGACACAGAATCGGAAACAGGCTCCAGGCTCAGAGCCATCAGCCCAGAGCCTGACGCGGGGCTCGAACTCACGGACCGCGAGATCGTGACCTGGCTGAAGTCAGACGCCCAACCGACTGCGCCACCCAGGGGCCCCAATAAAAAAACTTTAAAAACTTCTCCTTTCCTGCTTGCTTCAGTTACTATTATAACAAAAATACTTGGCAACACGATCCTATAACAAGGCTTCTTTTCCATCTACAGTTCAAGATGGAAGTCTTAGCAGGTGCTCAATACATGCCTGTTGTCTGACATATTAACATCTGCTGATCACCCTGTATGTGTCTGTAGCTAACACCAGGCCTGGATTCTTACTCTCATCCTCCTGTTTAATCCACGCCACCTTCTGAGTTAAGTTTGATTAGCCCCATTGTATGTAGAGCCACACAGCTAAGTGGAGCCACCACCATGCTTCTAGCCCAGGTCTCAGTGACTCCCAATCCTCTGCTCTTTCTGCTTCACCAGGCTGAAGACCTCGGTGTGTGCTGAGCTATGTGGGCACAGCTCTAGAGCCACGGGATCAGGGCGAGTGGATCAGTCAACCCTCTACAGGGCCCGCGGGACATCCAATGCCTGAGGCTCTGCCTTCTCCCCACTCCTTATAATTCTGCCACCTGAAGTCCTCCTTTCTCCCATAACCACACAGGCTGGACGTGGTGGGTGGCTGTCGCCATGCGTCACTCCTGGGCCTTGCCCTCACAGAGGTACTTGGTGGGCACTCAGCCTTCAATGCTGGGGCCCATGTAAACTGAAACTCATACCTGACTTGCCCGTGCTGTGGGAATGGATGTGATGAGGCAAGCAAGGCAGAGCCTATTGGATTCCAGAAGCTTTTCAAGGTTGAGGTTTTGAACTCCTCTTTTGATTTGAGTGGGTCGGAGTTGGGAGTGGGATGGGGGCAATGTTGGGGCATTCCTTGATATTTATAAAAGATGAGGCAGAGATGGAAATGAGCTTTGTCCATTTGATCTGCATTTCAAAAATAGAGGGATCGCCTCAACTGGTAACTCCCCAGCCAGGGAAGGATGATGGGTATTAGGCATGAACCTTAAGGTTGGTAATTGTTAATAGAGTAACTCAGATATGGTGGCGAGTCCCAGGGCAGGGGTCAGAGGACTCTTGCAACTTCGGAGGCTCACCAGTTGATCCGTCAGTAACCTTTCCCATTTTACAAAACAGCTACACGCCATTCTGTTCTCTGTTTCACGAGGCTGTCAGGAAGGAAAAGAGAAGATGGTGTTCCCTGTGCTGAGAATGTCTGTGCCTCTTAGCTGTCGGGGGCACTCCCACTCATCTGACTCGCAAGACCCAAGGCGAATGTTTTCCTTCTCTGAAGACTTCTTTGGTGGAAGTCTCCCAAAGTAGCCACAACATCCCCTTTGTCATATAGCGCCCCACGTAGACTCATTGTTTGCAACAAGCTGCCCTGAAAACACGGGCTTATTGTGTCTGTCTCTCCTGGGGGTAGAGACCATACCTAATCCACTGTCGGTCCCCAGCAATGTCTGCCACGTAGAAGGTGTTCTGCAAGCACTGAACGAATGAGTGGGAAAAGGCAGAGATCAGCATCTTCTTAAGAAGTTGCAGTATCTTTCTGCACGTTTCTTTAAGTGCCCTCAAAATTCACAGTGCTGTCTTGAAGCGTGGAGTCTTTGAAGGGGATGTCAATGCTAGTTTCTCCTACCATGCAGGAACCCTTTTTCAGCATCCCAAGAGAAGTAGTTGTTCCATATCTCCCCTGGACATCCCCAATGATTGTAAGCAGGGGGAATTATTCGTGAACCCTGCCTTTCTGTGGGTACTCTGACTTCTTCATTACCAAGGGCCCTGAGTTCTGGAAGACGGGGAAACAATCACAGTTATAACAATCATGATTTGTTGACGGAAACGTTCATTATACAGCTAACAGTGAGTACTGAGGTACCATGTACTCTTCTTGGTGCTTAATTCACTGAATCTTCATTCTACCCTCCACCAACCCTACAGAATGGTATGATTGTTAGCTTCACTTCATAGACAGGAAATTTGAGGCCCAGAGAGGTAAAAAAATAATAATAATAACTTGCCGAAGGCCACGCAGTAAACTGCAGAGCTAGGGTCAGAACCCAGGTGATCTAGCTCTAGAACCTATATTCTAACTACCGACCTCTGCTTCTCCATAGAAGTGAGTGAACGATGTTTAGGGTGCACGGTGCACTTGGCATTACATCGGCCCTTTTCCATATATGAACTCTGTCATCACTGGGGACAATCCTGTGACTCAGACAAGCGAGTGTCCCCATGGAACAGGTGAAGCAACATTCCAGCCCCGACCCCCTATGATACGTGTCACGCGTCCCGTAGGTCGGCTAGGACCACCCCCCGAACATTGCCTTGGATAGAAGGAGACGGTGTCTCAGAAAACACTTCTTCCTGGCTACACAGAAATGTAGTTTCTATGAATTCATTTTGGACCTGTCAACATATACCGGGAACGTCCAAGGAGTCTCTTTTCTGCTCTTAGCCTCAGTTTTCTCACTTATGAAATTTGGAGACCAGACCAGGGCTCTAAGACCCTGTCCTACCCTGGCATCGGGCTCTGCTGCCCTGAGGTCTATGCGAGAAGAGAAGGGCAGGGGGAGATGGAGGGGAGGGAGGAGGTGGGCGGAGTTGGCAGTTACTGGAGAGGCAGCAGAGCCCCCAGGTCTTAGAAATGGGCAGAGGAGAAGAATCTACAAAGAGCGGTAAAAGCAAAAAGGGGAGAGAGATCCCACAGTCTCCTGGCAACACCCTCAAGATCCTGTTCCCTACCCCCATTCAGTCTAGAACACACCCTTCCCACACCTTCTGATAGAAACTGGGCTAGGGGACGCCTGGGTGGCTCAGTCGGATGAGCATCCAACTCTTGGTTATGGCTCAGGTCATGCTCTCACTGCTCAAGAGTTTGAACCCCACCTCAGGCTCTGCACTGACAGCGTGGAGCCTGCTTGGGATTCTCTCTCTCTCCCTCTCTCTCCCCGTCCCCGATTGG